AGGCACCTACCTGGGACACTAGAGACAGGTAATGGCACCTGTCACCTGTCACACATGGGCAGTACACGGGCACAGAGGGACCGGGTACTTCAGGGGGATGGGGCATAAAAAAGCGAGGTGACAACAGATGGAATGAGGTGACACAGGTGCCATTACCCTGGAGCAAGGTGTCACCACCAGGGACTCGGTGCCGGTGCAGGGGCTCACAATGGGTGACAATAGGGTGACACAGGTGACACACAGGTGACACACAGGTGACAATAGGGTGAGACAGGTGACACACAGGTGACACAGGTGACACACAGGTGACAATAGGGTGATACAGGTGACACACAGGTGACACACAGGTGACACACAGGTGACACACAGGTGCCGTTACCCTGGAGCAGGGTGTCACCACCAGGGACTCCATGCCGGTGCGGGCGCTGTAACTCTTCTGTTTGCAGAAGCCCGGGTCCAGCACGTACACGATGCCATCGATGGTCACCGACGTCTCCGCGATGTTGGTGGCCACCACTACCTGTGCCAGGGGGCGGGGACACACCTGGGGACACGCCCCATGCGGGCCCCGCCCCTCCCAGAGAAACCACACCCACCTCTACCTCCCACCAAACCCCAACCTGCAGGCCACGCCCAATTAAGCCACACCCCTCTCGGCCCCACCCATTTTTGCCTCACCCAAGTAAGCCACACCCATTATGACCACACCCAATGAAGCTCCACCCCTTTAGGCTCCACCTATTCCAACCACAGCCAATTAAGCCGCACCCCTTTTGACCACACCCAATTAAGCCCCACCCCCTTACACGTCACTCACTTTAATCCCCACCCCTTTTCACAAAGCCACGCCCCCTCTCAGGCCCCACCCGTTCCCTTAAAGGGCCAGCGCACCTCCTTGGCTCCCTAAAGGAAACTCCACCCCCTTGCCTTTAAACCCCACCCCATTTTCACGAAGCCACGCCCCCTCCCGAGACCACGCCCATTCTCTTAAAGGGCCAGCGCACCTTCCTGGCTCCCGGGGGGGTGGGCTCGAAGATCCGGGCCTGCAGCTCCGAGGGGAGGTTGGCGTAGATGGGCAGGACCAGCAGCTCAGGCAAGCGCGAGCCCAGGCGGCGACAGCGCTCCTGGAGCAGCTCCACACAGGCCTCGATCTCCTCCTGCCAGCCCGGGGACAGCGGGGACATTGGGGGACATCGGGGGGATTGGGGACATTGGGGGAATTGGGGACATCGGGGACACTGGGGACATTGGGACAGTGGAGACATCGGGGACATTGAGGGGATATTGGGGACTTCAGGGACATTGGGGAGACACTGGGGACATCGGGGACATTGAAGGGACATTGGGGACATCAGGGACATTGGGTATTGGGGACATTGAGGGGACATCAGGGATATCAGGAGGACAAAAGACTCGTGGCAGGAAATTGGGGACATTGGAGACAGGGGGGAACTCTCAGGGGAACGGGGACATCTGTGGGGATGGGGACACCGGGAGGTCACAGGGGGACGGGAGGACACTCAGGTGACACTCAGGTGACACTCACCTGCCCGGTGAGGAAGACCAGGATGTCCCCGGGGGGTTGGGTGACGTGGATCTGCAGCACTGACACCACACAGGCCTCCAGGTAATCGGCCTCGGGAGCCTGGGGGCACAGCGGGGACATTGAGGGGACACTGGGGACATCAGCACCACGTGTCCCCAAAGGTCCCCAGTGTCCCCTTTTCCCTGTGTCCCCTCACGTCCCCAAATTATCCCAGTATCCCCTGAATATCCCCAATGTCCCTGATGTCCCCAGTGTCCCCTGGATGTCCCCAGTGTCCCCTTGGTGTAGTAGATGTCCACGGGAAAGTGCCACCCACGGATGATCTGGTGTCCCAATGTCCCCAGTGTCCCCAGTCCCCCCAATGTCCCCAATGCCCTGAATGCTCCCAATGTCCCCAATGCCCTGGATGTCCCCTGATGTCCCCAGTGTCACCTTGGTGTAGTAGATGTCAACGGGGAAGCGCCGCCCGGGGATGATCTGGTGTCCCCATCCTCCCAATCCCCTCGATGTCCCCAATGTCCCCTGGATATCCCAAATGCCCTGAACGCCCCCGATGTCCCCAGTGCCCTGGATGTCCCCAATGCCCCCTGGATGTCCCCAGTGTCCCCAGTGTCACCTTGGTTTAGTAGATGTCTGTGGGGAAGCGCCACCCGGGGATGATCTGGTGTCCCAATCCCCCCAGTGTCCCCAATGCCCTGGATGTCCCCTGATGTCCCCAGTGTCCCCAATGCCCCCTGGATGTCCCCAGTGTCCCCAGTGTCACCTTGGTGTAGTAGATGTCCACGGGGAAGCGCCGCCCGGGGATGCGGAACACGGGCGCGTGGTCGAAGAAGGCCGAGAAGCGCTCGGTGTCCAGCGTGGCCGAGGCCACCAGGACCTTGAGGTGCGGCCGGAAACGAGCGATGTCCTTGATGAGGCCGAAGAGCACGTCCGTGTGCAGGGTCCGTTCATGGGCTTCGTCAATCATGATCACACTGGGGACACGGGGACAG